TACACATAGACTGATACTGATTAAATATATATATAATTATTGTTATATATATATTTATATATAATATAAAAAAATAAAAATGTAAATATGTTAAAAAATAAAATTAAAAAAATAATTAAAAATAAATAATTAAAAAATATATAGATGTGTGTTATTTCGTTCTAACTGTATTGTGATATATATATATATATATATATATATATCAAAATACACGTAGAACGAAATAATATATATATCTATATACATAAATATATACGTATATATCACTATATATATACCTATATATAAATACAAATATTTAAAAAAAAATATATAGATATATACATATATATACACATACGTATATATATACATATATTAATTCTACATATATATTTATGTAATATTTTTACATAATTAGGTATCTTAATTAATTACAATTAGCGGGACCTGCCTGACAACCCATGCCGAAAGTAAAGGGAATTTAATTTGCTAGCACTATATTTAACCCTATAACTTTCAGAGACACCATAAAACCTGTACATGGGGGGTACTGTTCTACTCGGGAGACTTCGCTGAACACAAATATTAGTGTTTCAAAACAGTAAAATGTATTACAACGATGATATCACCAGTAAAAGTGAAGTTTTTTGCATTTTTCACACACAAACAGCATTACACGGACAATATTATTGCTGTGATACTTTTTACTGTTTTGAAACACAAATATTTGTGTTCAGCGAAGTCTCCCGAGTACAACATGTACAGGTTTTATGGTGTTTTCAAAAGTTACAGCGTCAAATATAAGGCTTGCGTTTCATTTTTTTCACATTAAAATTCGCCAGATTGGTTACGTTGCCTTTGAGACCCTATGGTAGCCCAAGAATGAAAATTACCCCTATGATGGCATACCATTTGCAATAGTAGACAACCCAAGGTATTGCAAACAGGGTATGTCCAGTCTTTTTTAGTAGCCACTTAGTCACAAACACTGGCCAAAATTGGCGTTTTTGCATTTTTCACACACAAACAAATACTAACGCTAACTTTGGCCAGTGTTTGTGACCAAATGGCTACTAAAAAAGACTGGACATACCCCATTTGCAATACCTTGGGTTGTTTACTATTGCAAATGGTATGCCATTATGGGTGTAAATTTCATTCCTGGGCTACTATAAAGTCCCAAAGGCAGCGTAACCAATCTGGCGAATTTCAATTTCAAATGTAACGTGCTATATTTGACCCTGTAACTTCCCAAAACGCCATAAAACCTGTACATAGGGGGTACTGTCTTACACGTGAGACTTTACTGAATACAAATATGTGTATTTTATTGCAGTAAAAGCAAACAGTATTATGACACTGACCTTTAAAATGTCATGTAGAACTAAAAAAATAAAAAAAAATCGTATTTTTTCCCATTTCTTTCATATTAAATTATGTTTCATAGCTAAATATTTGATATTAAATGAAAGCCCTGTTTCCCCTGAATAAAATGATATATAATAAGGGTGGGTGCATTTACTATGAAAGAGGTGAATTACGGTTGGACAGACATGTAGCGCAAATACCAGGTTTTGTTTACATTTTGTTTTGTTCACAACGTGTACATTTGGCTCCGTCCTTAAGGGGTTAAATACGAAAAGAGTTCTTTATTTGGCAGGTGTAATTGTTTTTTAAATTCTTTTTTTTTATTTTTTTTTATTCATTTTCAGAACAACAAGTAGGGGTTTACTGAAAAAGAAAAGGGTATACTTAGATATAGTCTTGGGGAGGTCATACAAAGTAAAAACCGGGAATCAGTCTGTGGCGAAACCAACCTCGCCACTGGACATTGGAGAAGCCTGTTTGCCAGCCTCCTGCCCTGTGACTATGGCCCCTGAAATGTATTGCCCTTTAAGAAACCTATTTGGGCTTATTGTATTTTGGAACACTTTTTCTGCCCCTTTGAATACATGGGAAGGTGTGCCCCTCCCCCATTTCCTGTCTATTTTTCTCCAGCAGGGCGTTGTCCCAGAGACACTGCCAGACCAGTTGGAACTTGCTGTTTTGCCCCTCCTCTGTCTCTCATCAGCCCTTGCTGTGGTTTAACCCCCATGGCGATTTGACTGTGTTAGTGGGACCTGAGCGCTGTTCGGATATAGTGAGCACTCAGATCTAAGCTATCTGGGGATGGGTTGAATGTGGGGGTTCTGTTCAGTATGATAGGAATTATGTATTTTTTATGTGTTTTTAGTGTTGTTGTGAATAGAGCTATTTTCTGTATGCTGGAGATAATTGGCCTACCACACCCAAGCCATGCTTGCAGTCGCTTACAAAAGCACTTCCAACTAACTTTTGACCCACTGGACCAATTTGTATGATTTTGACGTATGTTTGTATTTGGAGTATGCTGATTCTGAAAATGTAAGTGTGAATGTATTTATGTGAAAGTGATGTATACTTTTGGAGTTATGAATATTGTGCAAAACTGTGTAGTTTTCCTGCCTGTGCTAATTAGGTTAGCCCATTGTGTTCAGTAATTATATCACAGGCAGAGGGGAGGATTTTGTATGGGAGTGTCTGAGTGTATTGTAGGTTTTGATTGGATGTACTTCAAAACCCTGTGGTCGGTACTATGTTTGTAGAATGGGCATAAAAGCAGAGTGTTTGAATAAAAGCTCAGTTCTACTGTCTCTTATTGGGGGAACAAGCTACAAGGGATTGCTTTCCTCTGCATATCCCCTTGCTGTAATCACTCCTAAGCTCTTGTAAGAGCTTGTTCCTGCTTCACTCTGAAGGAAGAGAGGTTCGGCCAGCAATGGTTGTGGTGTCGGCTAGAGTGCTTGGAGTCCTCAAGAAGCACTTGGAGCATCCTTCAGTCGGGGTGCCAGGTGAATCGATACAGAGTCCTCCACATTCCTGACACTGTGCACACCCTAATCAAAATCGAGGCTCCGTGTTGCACAGCCTGCACTGCTGCCAAAACAATTTGCTATTTCCTCCCGATCTGATACTTCACTATGCGAGCAGACTTGCTCCTTCTTCAGATCTCCCCTGTAGCGTATGTGCATTCCATGACATTACGCGGAGGCAGAGTCACGGACTCACGGCAATGCTAGGCTGAGGCCCGGCCGGGTCATAGCGCAGCACCAGCGGCATTACTCTTCTCCTAGAATGAGTTACGGCAACCATGTAGAGTTTATTTCTCCTCCCTTCCTGCAGAATTTCATTGTGTCTCATCAACTGAAGCATACATTCTGCTGCCATAGTACAGAAAGGGGGACGTTTGACAAGTCTGGTTTGCCAAGAATTCCACTTACATACCCCTAGAGTATTGCAATGCCCAGTCTGTGCTAAATCTGCCCATAGCTTTTCCAGTGGTTTTAGACAGTAACAGCTGGAATGCCACAGAGGGCTTGTTTCTGCACTGGTTTTCCCTAGCTGTAGATTTCACTTGTGGCTTGAGGCTCCAGACCCACCCAGATGTGTGCCAGATGAGGAGTGAGGAAATCAAAAATAATTAGTAAGGATCCAAAATAATCTAGTCTACTGTGATGGGGGACAACTAAATGGCCACACTCAACCCTATATAATGAGTATAAAGGGGCAACAGATAGCAAAAGCTAAGTTTAAGAGTTAAGAATATCTCTTAAACTTAAGGACATGTCATGTGTCCTTAAGGGGTTAAATAAGGTTGATGTGCTCTGGAAGGGGATTTCCCAGGGTAATACCTGTCAGTCAGTTTTCCCCAGACTGTCATCAGGTGTCTTTTGTGTTTGTGGACTTTAAGTGGTGATGGTCAGGATGCTTCTGCCGACCACACATTGTGTCATGGTGCTTCATTTGGAGTGAGTAATGGTGTCCTGAGCTGGGTAGTCGTTATTTGGGTTAGGTGTGCCGCTGAGAAATAGTGCACAAAGTTTGGTAGGCCCAGCCCCCCAATTTTTTGGGAACATACAGTGTGCCTCTGCGGACCCTGGGTTTGCATCCATTCCAAATGAATGTGTCTATTGCCGATTGTATGGTTTTGAGGTCAGGTTTATCAACAGGGATAGGCAAGGTTTGGAAAAGGTATAGGAATGTGGGGAGGAGGTTAATTTTGATGGAGGCGATGCGCCCCAGCCAAAAGATCCCAGTGGCCTCCATTGAACTAGGTCGTTGTGGGCTTTTTGCAGTAACAGGACATAGTTTCCGCTGGTAATTGACTCTTCTGGGTTTGTTAGGGTCAGCAAAACGTCGTCAGCATATGCCGAGACCTTGAATGTCTCCCTTCGGATCATGATGTCTTCATTCTCTCGACTGGAGCGCACTGCCTGCAGAAGGAATTCAAGGGAGAGGGCAAAGAGTAATGGTGATAGGGGGCAGCCCTGACGTGTGCCGTTTATTATAGGGAACCACGGTGGGACTATATCAGGCAGCAGGAGTGTTCCCTGTGGGGAGTGATATACCGCTTGTAGGAAAGTGATGAATTCGGCTGGGAGACTTGTGTGTTCTAGGGTGCAGTATAGGTATGGCCATAAGAGACGGTGGAATGTCTTTTCGGCATCCAGCGATATGACCACTGTCGGGATTCATCAGTGTTGAGCTAGCCATATGAGGTCAATGTTTCTGCGGGTATTGTCTGCTGCTTGTCTGTGGGGGATAAAGCCCACTTGGTCTGGGTGTATGAGGGAGCCCAGGTATGGGTTCAGTCTTTTGGCCATTATCTTGGTCATTGTTTTAAGGTCGACATCAGTAATGAAATCGGCCTACAGTGTTCAGGTTCTTTGTGATCTTTACCTGGTTTGGGGAGTAGGCATACATTGGCAGTGGTCATAGCTGGTGGTAGTGTTCTGCGTTGAATACCGTACAAAGCTGTTTCAAAAGGAGCGGGCTGAATTATTTGTAATATAGGGCTGTGTAGCCACCAGGGCCCGGGCTTTTATTGGGTTTGAAGGAACTTAGGGCTGCTGCAACATCCTCCACCATGGCTTCCCTTCCTATCGCCAGTTTGGCATTTGGGGAGAGGGATGGGAGCGCACCAGTTTGCAGGAACTCATCTATTCGGGTGCTGTAGGTGTCTGCGTTAGTGTGTGTCTGTTGGGCATGGTTATATAGTGCCGTGTAGTAGTCCCAATGTGGTCCGGACAGTTACTAATGGCACCCTCCTTGGTGCGGATTGAGGAGATCCGCTTGGATTCTATTCGTGTTTTAAATCTCCAGGCCACTTTCTTCACTTTCTTCACCTTTTCGTAGTATTTTTGTTTTAACCACATGAGGGCTTTGGATGTGTCGGAGTGGGTGAGTCTTTTAAGGAGGTCCCGAGTCGTGTATAGTTCGGCTAGAGTGGTCGGTGAGAGGATCTTTTTATGTATCGTTTCTAGTCTGTGCAGTTCCGCCATTGCATCTGTTATTTGTTGTTGCATTTGTTTTTTCTTGTGTGTGGCTAGGCTGATGAGGGTGCCCTGATGACCGTCTTATGCGCAGCCCATAGGAACATTGGTGTGACTGCAAGTAGTCTGTGATTGCTTTGGCTACTGCATCTTTTATTAATTTGTCGTGTAAGAGGATCGGGTTTAGGCGCCAGGACCATGGCCTGTGTATGGTGGGTAAGGTCACGGTAATGGCTATTTCTGTGAGGTCGGACCAGGAGATCGTTCCTATGTCTTATCCGGTTATCTGGGATATCAGGTTCGGGGAGACTAAGAAGAAATTTGTGCGCGAGTATGATCCGTGTGGGTGTGAGTAGAAGGTTTAGTCTTTTGTAGATGGGTGTTGCGTTCTCCAGATGTCAATCAGTTTTTGGAAAGCTGGAATTGGGCGAAGAGGATGTCATTTTGGGTGGGTCTGTTGCAGGCGTAGTTATGTAGTGTTCTGTCAACTGCAGGAGTGTGTACTGCATTGCAGTCACCCATCACTATTAGGCCATATTGGAGTAGGGTCCGAGGTGAGTCGTGAGTCGTTGCCAGAATGTTTGATCAGGTGACGTTGGGGCGTAAACAGAGGAGAATGCATTGCAATAGTTCCTTATTTTCCCATTTATCGTAACATATCGGCCCTGTGGGTCTTTGATGCATATAATGTTTGTTAGAGGGCATGTGGTTTTCAGTACAATCACTACCCCTTTCGTCTTGGTGTCTGGGGAAGGAGCTAAGTAGCTTTGTTTGTAGTAGCAATTAGTGAGAGGAAATGAGTGGCTGTTCATGAAATGAGTTTCTTGTATAAGGAGAATATCTATATGTTGTCTGTGTGCCCATCGTAGTATTCCATGCCTCTTAATGGGTGCGTTTAACCCTTTGGCATCGATCGAGATGCAGCGTATGGTAGTGGGCATGATTGCAGTGTGGAGGATGTGTTAAGTTCGGTGCCCCTTGAGACTTGTGTGTGGGTGGGTAGGGGCCACGTGCCCAGGCGGATACAGCTATTAAGGTGAGGAGAAAAGGTTGTGGTAAGGGTGGAGCTGTCCAGGGGAGGGGATGGTGGGTTGGGGAGGGGTTTGGAAGAATCGAGGGAAGGTAAGAGTAAGGTATGTAAGGCTACTGGAAGTGTCAGTCTGGGCTGCCCGTTCGTGTAATATGGTCGAGGTGGTCAGTGGCCTTCATCAGGGTCTGGGGATCTTCCCAGGGCCGGTCCTCCCATCACTGCTGCTTCTGCCCATATGGGTGGTGGTCGTCTTGGGAGCCCTCTGGGCACTTGGTCGGCGGTGAAGTCAATTCGGGGTAGGTCCAGCCGCTCCACAAACTACTCGGCTTCCACAATTCTGTGCAGTGTGAGAGTGTGGTAATTTCTGCGCACTTGAAGTTTGAAGGGGTGCCCCCATGAGTAGCGTATTTGTCGTCTTGTGAGTTCCTGAGTCAGGGACTGCAGCTCTCGTCTCATGCGTAGGGTTCTGTGGGCTAGGTCCTGATATAAGTGGACCTGGTGCCCCTCGATCTGGAACCGGGTGCCTCGGGCAGCCCTCATGATTGCTTTCTTATTATGGAAGTAGTGCATCCGGATGATGACATCTTGTGGTTGGGCAGCATTTGGTGTAGGGGCTGCGTATTCTAATATTGTTGTGGCGTGTCCTGTTGTTTAGGTCCTCTTTGGCTTCTTCTAGCTGGCGTACCTGGTCTCTTAGTTCCTCTATTGCATTCTCGTGTGCAGTGGACCGTGAGGTTGCTTGGTCCATCCACTCCTCCATATCAGTAGCACATTGCGCGAGGTCACTGAGGCCTTCATTGATAGACGTTAGGTGCTTAGTGAATTCTGTCGCCATATTTATCTTGATTTCTCTCAGTAGGTGTCTGAGATCCTCACTTGTAAGAGCGGTGGTAGCCCCGTGGTTTGTGTCACTTGCGGCCGAGTCGGTGTCGTAATCGTTGCCTTCCTCGACGCGTGTTGGGCCTTCTTCCTTGCGGCTTTGTAATATCGGGGCCACCGCTGAGCCTTGATTTGATTTTCTGCCTCTCCCCATGTCGGGCTGGTTGTGTACCATGTCTGGAGTACGTGACGGTGAGATTGGGGTGAGAAATTGGAGAATAGTCGCTAATATGTGCTATTGAAGTGCCTGCTGGTACGGAGCTCTAACAACAAGCCGCCATTCGCACTGGAAGTCAGGCGCTGCTCCCCTTGGTAGGTGTAATTTAACTTTAATATCAGCAAAAGGTAGTAACTTATCTTTTTTGCCAGATATCTTTAATACTGCATTGGAATTTAGACCAGTTATGTAGAGAGATATCCTACATATTGTCTTCCAGAGTAACTAGATGACATGTATTGATTATTTTTTGAGAAATTTTCAATTGTTTTTTCAGTATGTCCCAGGCACTAATGGTCTGTGATAAAATTAAAGATTTACTATTTAATTTATCTGTTACTTTTTTAGTACTATTAAGCCACAAGTATACTTCTAATCTTTCTCTTCCGACTGCCTCAGATTCTATTATGTACCACACATCTTTTTTTAAAAGCTTCTACTTGTAGCGTATATATATATGCCCAATGATATTAAAAACTCCCCTTATATCAGGGTAGTTCAAACCCCCTTGTTGGTATTTTCTCATCAAAACCTTAGAACTTATTCTAGGTGTTTTACTTTTCCATATGAAAGTTTGGAAACTGGATTGGATCATGGTTAACCAACTATCAGACATTTGGAGGGGTATCATTCTGAACAGATATGACACTTTTGGGATGATATAAGCATTTATTGTGTTAATACTGCCTGACCAAGATTATTCCAGCTGGTGCCATTCTGTAAACTTTATATTGGTGTATTTTAAAAGATTTAGGAACATTTATTTCCATAGTGTTTTCTATCAGTACTGGGATTGTCACCCCTAGGTAATTAAAATCATTTTTTTGACCACGTGAAATTAAACTTATCTCTAAGGTCTTTGTAGTGGTAATTTTTTACCTTATTAATTAAAGCAATTGATTTAAATACATTTAGTTTATAATTTGATACTTTGCTATATTTATTTATTTCATATAGTACTTGTGGTAAAGAGGTTTCTGGAGATGTAAGTGGTAATAAAATGTTTTAGCTTCTGATTTATTAGTTGGAAAACTCTTGATGAGTTGGTTTGTTCTAATATTGATTGCTAGCGGTTTTAACATTAAAATGTAAAGAAGAGGTAATAAAAGGCAACCCTGCCTCGTGCCGTTTTGTAAATGAAACCAACTAGATAGGATATTTACCCCGACTCTTCTTGCTGTCGGGAGATGTGTCTATTATAATCAGCACAAATATATAATTTTCGCTGGTCAAGGGACAAACATTGTAGATTTCTCCTAGGTCAATGTTATATCAATAATACAATTTACATTAGTTAACATATATGGCCCACATATGAACCAAAGCTGCTTCTTTGACAACATATTACAGCAAATAGTTGTAGGTAGGTTTGGTGAGTTGGTCATAGGGGCGACACAAATTTTATCTTAGACACCAAAAAGGACACTTCTTCGACGGATAAGGTCGCACAGTGTTCTAGCACACACAGACAAACTGCTATGGTGAAATTACACAAAAACCTTTTGGCACAATGCTTTGTTGATCCAAGGAGAGTGTTTCCCTCCTTTAGGAAGTGTACTATACCTCCCATTCACCGGTGCATAATTCATACTCCTGGATAGAACGATTTCTTCTGTCCAGTCTTTGTCCTACTGTCCAGTTTTTCCCTCCACAAAATTGATGCTGCGACAATAGGTTTTAATTTCATGGTCTGTCCATGCCCCGATTGCTACTCAAATTGCGGTGCAATTTCAGAATAAAGGTTGAGGTGCATAAAGTTTTAGTGAGCATTTTCTAGCTAATCAAAGGATACTATCTGAGATCCAGAAGTAATTTGACCTCTATTTTACAACAAATAATCTCCCATGAGGTCTCATCACAAACGTTTTATTAAGCATGCAAGCTATACTAAATCGCTACGGGTGAGACCTTTGTTGACTTAACAAAGTGCCTTATAAAATTGTCCATATTAAATAAAACAAAACTGGATTTTATAGCAACGAGAGAAATTTGGGAAGTGCCTTCTAAAACTTAGAAATAGCTAAAACAGTGTTCTACCTGCGCAGACTTAATCAATAATCTTTTGAACACTTGAACAGGGTTGCAGCACTGTTGGCATCCCAACTCAAAAACAGATCATTTGCGACAAACATAACAAACATTCATAATAAATTCTGGTCTTTCCTCCCTCCAGTGTTGCTACTCCTGTGTCTGTCTCGCTCCAAGTCAACGGTGCTACCATCAGCTCCACCACGCAGGCTCACTGCCTAGGTGTTCTCTTTGACTCCCACCTCTCCTTCACGCCTCATCTTCAGTCTATTGACGAATCCTGCCGCTTCCATGTTAATTCCAAATGCGACTAAGGTGCTGGTCCATTCCACTGTCCTTTCTTGCCTTGACTACTGTAATCTGTTTCCCAGTGGTCTTACGTGCTCCCAACTTGCACCATTACAGTCCATAATGAATGCAGCGAGGCTCATCTTCCTGTCCGCCCCCACCTCCCACACCTCACCCTTCTGTCAGTCCCTACATTGGCTTCCTGTAAGATATAGGGCTCAATTTGAAATTCTGGTTCTTGCTTTCAAATCTCTACATAATGCTGCTCCCACCTATCTATCCTCCCTAATACACAAGTATGTCCCGCCTAGGCCCTTACGCTCTGCTGAAGACTTATGTCTATCTTCTGTCCGTGTTCCCACCTCTGATGCTCACCCTCAAGACTTCTCGAGGGCTGCACCGTTCCTGTGGAACTCACTTCCCTCCTTATTTAGATGCTCACCCAGGCTCCACTCCTTCAAAAAATCATTTAAAACACACTTCTTCATAAAAGCGTATCAATTAAACAGATAATAGTTCCTGACTGATTTCTCTCTTACAACTGTCATTAGTCTAATACTATCCTTACCTTTACTATTCTTGCCCAGTTGCTGGGGAAGAGAAGAGCTATTCACGTTTCAGTGCCTTGTTCATGAGTTCCTGTTACTATGGAACCAGTGTAGGAAAGTTTTGGTCAGGACTAGCGCTCTGCTATATTGGTTGGCATTGCCAGGATCCTTGGGTTACTGTGGAACAAGAGCCACAGTCAGTGGATAGCAGTACTGAATGGACTGTGAATGGAGATCAATTACACTGCCCTAAAACGGTCCACTCTGAAGGATCTCCTGGAGGCAAGAGGTATAGCAGCAAGCAATAAGAAGAAGGCCACCCTCATTGCCAAATTAATGGAGGAGAACCGACCAATCGGCACCAGCGATGGAGTAAAGTGAATTCCAAAAGGAGCTACAATTTCGGCTAGCTTTTTATGGAGAAAGCCCTTCGGTGGAAATCCTGGTATGAACCATATCCGACGTACAAACGTACGTACTGACCAGAACCGAACAACCAGAGCTAGAAACGGCTCCAGCAGTGACCCTTATCCAGAAAAAAAGAATCAAAAATGAAAAAATTACAGAGAGGCAGAAGAGGACATAGATGCTTTCCTACAGGACTTTGACAGGCTGTGTAAAAGATCGATGCAGAAGATTAGGACCTGCTTTTAGCTGGCAGACTGACGGGGGGAGCTGCTGAGGCATACCGAGCAGTCCCAGACGAGGACATTCAGACTATACCCGAGTGAAGGCAGTTATCCTAGTCAGGTATGCCATCATTCCGGAGGCATATCGCAGGCAGTTCTGGGACCTGAAGAAGGTAGAGAAACATTCTACGAGTGGGTATGCTGGCTCCATAGAGCTGCTCTGGGATGGGTGCAAGTCCACCAGTTGAACATCATGGAGGGACTATTGTAACTGGTGCTCCTGGAGCAGTTTTATAATTGGCCAAATTTATGGAGGAGAACCGACCAATCGGCAACCCTGATCCACCAGCGATGGAGGAAAGTGAATTCCAAAAGGAGCTACAATTTCGGCTAGCTTTTTATGGAGAAAACCCTTCAGTGGAAATCCTGGTATGAACTATATCAGAAGTACAAGCATACGTACTGACCAGAACCGAACAACCAGCGCTAGAAACGGCTCCAGCAGTGACCGTTATCCAGAAAAAAAGAATCCAAATTAAAAAATTACAGAGAGGCAGAAGAGGACATAGATGCTTTCCTACAGGACTTTGACAGGCTGTGTAAAGATTGATGCAGAAGATTAGGTCCTGCTTTTAGCTGGCAGACTGACGGGGAGAGCTGTTGAGGCATACCGAGCAGTCTCAGACTAGGACATTCGGACTATACCCGAGTTAAGGCAGTTATCCTAGTCAGGTATGCCATCATTCTGGAGGCATATCACAGGCAGTTCTGGGACCTGAAGAAGGTAGAGAAACATTCTACGAGTGGGCATGCTGGCTCCACAGAGCTGCCCTGGGATGGGTGACCAGTTGAACACCATGGAGGGACTATTGCAACTGGTGCTCCTGGAGCAGTTTTATAATTGGCTACCTCTTGGACATCCAAGAGTGGGTACGAGACCGAAACACCACCAACATCAAAGAAGCAGCTAGGTGGGCAAACAAGGACGTAGAGCTACTCTGACACCAGATACAGATACAATTGAGGGTTTTTCCTCCTCCAGGACCTGCGATACCACCAAAAGGCAGGGGCACATACAACCCCATGCCACTTGGCTTCCAAACCCAGAATAATACATAGTGCCACCTTTGCAAAAAGATAGGGCACAGATTGCCCATAGAACCGAGATCGGGCACAGTGGGTCCGTCCTGGGCCCCCTCCTGAGAACTGAGTGGCCACACATTGTTACCAGACCGAAGGAGCCACCTACCGTTCAGCTCCCGAACAAACTGAGGAAAGTTGGGGAATCTTCCATGAAGCAGACCCAGTACAAGCCGCCAAAGATATCTGCCAGAACCACCAGCTGTCCGTCCAACTACAGAGGAAGGAGTTTCAGGGTCTGCAAGATACCAGGGCTACCCTCACTCTGGTCCGCTGTCATCTGACTCCAGATTGGGCTCAAACAGGAAGCTCCATGGCAGGGGGAGCCGTGTACAAGATACCTCTGGCCCAAGTTCATTTGAATTGGGGTGCGGGATCAGGAATGGTAGAAGTGGGGTTTACCTACTGAGGTGTTACTCAGAAGTGACTTCCACTTCCACCTTTGAGCAACCAGCCCAAACTGCAAAGCTGTACCCGGTTACCACCAGACAACAAGCCAGTACCATGGACCGTTGCTCACCTCTGGAGGCACTGTTAAGAATAAATGCCCCGACCCTATAGATTCACCCCTGGGATACCTTTTGATTTGATTTTGGGAGGGAAGTAGCCACAGACCCCACGCTTCAGATATATTTGGACCAGATCGTTTCTAGTCACGCTGGGTTAGAAGGGGAAAGATATACATGGAACCAGGGATTGCTATATAGGGAGTCTGAGAGAGTAGTGGCCAGGTAAAAACCGATCCCCACTAGACTACTTGTCATACCACAAAAGTACAGACAAAAGCTGCTCACAATAGCGCATGACATCTTACTTTCTGGACACTTCGGAGTTAGCCGAACAAAATACTCTAAGTTTCTGGCCAGGTATTTCACAAGATATTCGACAGTACTGTCAGACGTGTGATAGCTGTCAGAGGGTAGGAAAGAGGGGAGACCGACACAAGGCTAATCTTCGCTCCCTGCCCATTATTGAGGAAGCCTTCATCAGGGTAGCAGTGGACCTAGCAGGACCGCTGGCCAAGTCTAGCAAGAAATATATTTTAATTCTAGTGGCAGTGGTGTTTACTATCCATGCAAACATGGCCCTGATGCGAATTTTATCCCATATGGGTTTTCCTCAGGAGATAGTCTTGGATCAGGGCTCCCAATTCACCGCACAGGTCACACACCACCACTGGAAGCTCTGTGGCATTAAGCCCATCATGAGCTCCCCCTACCATCCTCAAACGAACGTCTTATGCGAACGGTTCGATGGGACATTGAAACAAAAGCTCTGGACATTCACGGCCACTAGCAGAGACTGGGAGAGAGTCTTACCACACCTCCTGTTTGCTTACTGGGAGGTGACCCAGGAATCCAGAGGGTTCTTCCCATTCGAACTGCGGGAGATTAGTGAGGGGGCCATTGGATCTCATCAGGGAACATTGGGACGGGGATGTCAGCCAGGACGGGACCCCCAAAGTCTCATATGTGCTGGAGTTCTGTAACCGCCACATGGTATAATCGGGGAACCAGAGTCAGCAGCTTTCAGGTAGGACAGAAAGTTTTAGTTTTAAAAACTGTCTGCAATGATAAGCTGCAGGCTGCTTGGCAGGGCACACACCAGGTGGTAGAGAAGAAATGCGATACCACCTATTTGATTGGCTATTTTGATTGGCTCTGGAGTGGGAGGGTGACGCAAGCGCCATGTGAACATGCTGAAGCCCTACCATGAAAGAGCGGAGGAGGTGGCAGCGATCTGTGCTCCTGCCTCTGAGGACATTGATAACCTTCCCCTACTAGACCTCCTAGGTGACAGGAGTCAGACAGGTGAGCTAGACAAGGTCAACTTGGAAGAGTGGCTGAGCCCTCAGGAGCAGGGCCGCCATCAGGGGGTGACAACCGTGACAGTTGTCACGGGCCCGGCGGCCCTGGGGGGCCCGGACTGCTCTGGCAGTCCTGGGCCCCACTTTCCCTTTCTGCACACATAGATAACGAATATCGCTATCTATGTGTGCAGCCGCGGGCCCCCTGCTCCCTGTTACCGCAGAGGGGGCCCAGCCAGGCAGCACACAGCTTCTCCTCTCTTCTCTCTTCTCATAACTCTCGCGAGACCCGCGGAGCGTTGCCATGGTAACCGGGTCTCGCGAGAGTTATGAGAAGAGAGGAGAAGCTGTGTGCTGCCTGGGCCCCCTCTGCGGTAACAGGGAGCCGGGGGGCCCCCCACCGGACCACCAGGGATGGAATCTCCCCCTCCATGGACACAGGTAAGCAGGGAGGGGGGAGAAACATTTAATTAAATTAATAAAAAATTAATGTTAAAATGCCCCTTCCTCCCCCTCACCCCAGATCACACACTAACAACACACACTGCATACAATAACACACACACACACTGCATACACTAACACACACACACACTGCATACAATAACACACACATACACTGCATTCACTAACACACACATACACTGCATACCTAACACAACACACACTGCATACAATAACACACACACACACTGCATACATAACACACACACACACACTGCATACACTAACACACACACACACACTGCATACACTAACACAACCACACACACACACTGCATACACTAACACACACACACACACTGCATACACTAACACAACACACTGCATACACTAACACACACACACTGCATACACTAACACACACTGCATACACTAACGCAACACACACTGCATCCGCTACACTAACACACACACTGCATCCGCTACACTAACACACACTCTGCATCCGCTACACTAACACACACTCTGCATCCGCTACACACTAACACACTCTCTGCATTCACTACACATTAACACTGCATTCACTACACTAACACACACTCTGCATCCGCTACATACTAACACACTCTCTGCATTCACTACAAATTTACACACACTATGCATTCACTGCACTAACACACACTACATTCATTACACTGACGCACTCTGCATTCATACACACTAACATACACTCTGCATTCATTACACACTAACACACACTCTGCATTCACTAAACTATGCACACACTCTGGATTCACTATACTGACACACACTCTGCATTCACTACACTAACATACACTCTGCATTAACTGTACACACAGCATCCACTACACAAACATCCTGTATTCACAGTACACACACTACATCCACCACAAATTGAAACACTCTGCATTCACTATACACAGACACTGCGTCTGATACACACACTACAGACACTGCATCCACTAAACACATTTCATCTAGTACATACAAACACTACATCCACTACACAAACACACACTACATCACTGTACACACACTACATCCACTACTCAAAAACACTCTGCGTTCACTATACACACTGCATCCGCTACACAAACACACACTCTGCATTCATTGCACAAACAGTATCTAATACACACAAACACTACATCCATTACACACATTCTAATTCACTTCCACTATACACACACCACATTCAGTCCTGCATCATTGTGAGCGGACTAGGTAGGGCGTGGGCGGGCCCGCGAGGAGCGGGGGGGGGCCCCAGACCTTGTGCTTTGTCATGGGCCCCAAATTTTCTGATGGCGGCCCTGCTCAGGAGTGTACCCAGGTACAACAGTTGCTTGAGTCCAGGAAGGCCAACTTCTCTAACGTGCCCGGGTACACTACTTTGGCCACTCACCGGGTAGAGACGCTTTGTCAGCTACTGCTATGCCAACCTCCTTACCGAATCCCTAAATTGGTAATAGAGAGTATGCATAAGGAGGTCCAGGAGATGCTCCGACTGTGGGTGATCAAGTTGTCCGACAGCGCTGGGCCTCTCCAGTAGTACCAGTAGTACCGTTCTGTGTGGACTACCGGAGGTTAAATGGTAAGACTGTGTCCGACGCCTATCCAGGGTTACCTTAGGTCTCTGTATTGCCTCTGTGATTAATGCCATCATTGCCAAGTTCATGAGTTTTGGTGGGCAGCCGTCTCTTGGCAGGTTTGCTGTTGTGCCATGTTCTTTCCATTATGTTATGATAGATTTGATGGTGCTCCTGGGGATCATCAGAGATTTGGATATTTTTTTTATAACCTAACCCTGACATTGTCCCTTACTTGTTTGGAGAGTTCCTTGGTCTTCATGGCAGTGTTTGGTTAGTGGTGCCTCTTGCTTATGTGTTGCAGCCTTTCAAAAAAGGTGTGTATATGTAATGACAGATCATATGACACTTAGATTGCACACAGGTGGACATCATTTCACTAAATATGTGACTTCTGAAGGTAATTAGTTGCACCAGAGCTTTTTATGGGCTTCATAACAAAGAGGGTGAATACATACGCACATGACAATTTCCTGTTTTCTATTTCTAAAAAATAGTTTTATGTATATATTTTTCTCATTTCACTTCACCAACTTAGACTATTGTTATCTAATCCATCACATAAAATTCAGATTAATAAAACATTGAACTTAAGGCTGTAATGTAACAAAATATGCCCCAGGCCTCTCTTCAAAACCTCTTTGGAGTATTCATGGATCTGGCCATAATTTCTTAGCTTTTCGTACTATCTACCATTTGAATGCATGATTCTATGTGAGAGCAAGTGTTTGTAGCCAAGTTTTGTTTATAGCAGTGAGGGCTGCAGTGAGAATATGGTATATTAAGAATTGTTTACATTTTGGTAAATAGTTTGGGATGAGCTGCAGTAGATATATTTCTGGGGTCCGTGGAAGGTTAATGTTTACGACTTGTTAAATGAGGTTAGTAACTTTTGTCCAAAATATTTATAGGTTTGGACATGTCCACTAGTGATGTCCCAAACGGTTTGCCGAACGGTTCGCCGAACAGTTCGCCACGGATGGCGAACATAAACATAAACTTTGACCCTGTACCTCACAGTCAGCAGACACATTCCAGCCAATCAGCAGCAGACCCTCCCTCCCAGGCCCTCCCACCTCCTGGACGGCATCCATTTTACATTCATTGTGAAGCTGCATTCTTAGTGAGCTGTCCAGGAGGTGGGAGGGTTTGGGAGGGAGGGTCTGCTGCTGATTGGCTGGAATGTGTCTGCTGACTGTGAGGTACAGGGTCAAAGTTTATGTTTATGTTTTGCCGTCTGCGGAGAACCGTTCGGCGAACCGTTCGGGACATCACTAATGTCCACTATATGTGGAGCATAGTCCCAGGAGATTGTTTACATCTCCAGCAGGTGTCTGATTTAACGGAGTCCATATGCTTCATTAGTAGGTACTAAGTACATGCGGCAGAGAATTTCTCTTGAGGTTTTGATGTGTGACGTACATAGTGTGAATTTCTTTTAGCCGTGAAGATTTACGACCAGTGATTGTGTGTTAGTAATTTTTTAAGGTCTTTTTTCGACGCTAATATGAAGAAAGATTTGTGGGTGTTTTTTTTGTTGATATTCGCTGTTGTATATATATGATATTATCTTTTTGGATCTCTTTTGATGTGTGCATAGGGTTTCCAAGCCGGACAACTGCTGCTAATTTACAAACGTTGGTCTAACATCTCCAACCAGGATCTGATTTGCATATTAGTAAACTTGGCTGTGTTGGGTAGTTTATATATTGTTTGCAGGGATTCGAATGGGAGAAGTGTGTGATCTTTTATAATCTGGTGGAAGTGTGTGATACCTTGCCGGAGTCAAGTGCTCATGTTTAAGTTCAGTATTAATAGAGCAAATGTTTGTATCAGCATTGCAGGTGAAAGAGTAGTGTGTAGAGCATGAGTGTTCTATATTTGTTCGACTCTCTCGAAGTTTGGGATGTTGTTGGCAGAATGTTGTGTTGTGGTAATATCCAAGCCAAGAACATAATGGTATGTCCTTCGGTGTGTGGGCAGCTTCTATTTGTAGTCCAGAGGGTGGTAATTGGTGGTGGGAAAAGGTCATTATCAGAGGGATGAGAAGGGATGCTCTGTAATATGTGGTTAGGTTCGGGAGTCCCATGCCTCCTTGCTTAAATGGTTGGTACATAATTTGAGCTGCAATCCTGGGTTTTTTGTTATCCCTTACGAATTTATTAAGTATTGTTTGTGCCTCTTTGAGGTATTGTGTTTGGAGTTTTATTGGCACTGTGAGAAATAGATATTGAAATTTGGGGAGGATTAACATTTTTACCGCTGCTATCCTGCCCATCCAGGATTGATATCTGCTTTTCCAACCCAGCAGCAGTTTTTTTTTTGTGTTGTTGAGTAATTTGGTATAATTCATCTGAAATAAGCTATGTGAATTGGCCGTGAGTGCTACGCCCAAAAAGGTGAGGTTATCCTGTCTCCATTCATATGTTTGCTGCAGCTGTTTGGCGAGGGAGTTAGATGTGTGGATCCACAATGTTTGTATTTTTGCTATGTTTAGTTTATAGTAGGAGCAGTCACTATATTGTTTCAGGATGCTTAGAAAGGCTAGGATTGATGTTTCTGGCTTAGTAAAGGACAGCATAACATCGTCCGCAAACATGGTTATCTTATATTCTACATCTCCTATCTGAATACCATGTATGGAGTTATTGTCCCGTATCATCTGCGCCAGTGGCTCTAATGCCAAAATATAGTGTAGGGGGGATAGTGGGCATTCCTGATGCATGCCATTCGAGATTTCAAAAGCAGACAACACAAACCCACCGTTTGTTACCCTTGCTGATGGACTCGAGTAGAGTGCCCAGATTAAGGTCATGAATTGGGATAGGAAGTTGAATTTTTGCAGAACAGCCTTGAGGAAGCACCAGTGCAATCTGTCAAATGCTTTTTCAGCATCTAGGGAAGTAAAAACCTTGTGCTCCCTCGCGGCTCGATGTCCGTAAAACAGACTCAATAACTTTCTTGTGTCATCTGCTCCCTGTCTACCCATCACGAAGCCTACTTGGTCGGAGTGTATTATTGAGGGGATTAAAATAGACACGCTGTTAGCATATATTTTTGCTAAGATTTTATTTTTGCTAAGGGATATTGGGCATAAACCACTGAATAAGTCCCCAAATCCTGTATTTAATAGGGTTTTGGGGCTTATTCAGTGGTTTCCTTGGTTTAGGGAGTGTGGCGATGTGTGCTAGTAGCATTTCTGGTGGCATATTACCTGATTCTGTTATGTGGTTGAGGGTTGTTACCATTTCGGGGGCTAGAACTGAAAGAAAAGTTTTATAATAGTGGTTTGTGAAACCATCCGGTCCAGGTGACTTCCTCAGAGGTAAGGAGTTTACAGTTTGTGTCAGTTCTTGGAGAAAGAATGGACCTGTAAGGGAGTTTCATTGGAGTTGTTTCAGGGATTGAAGTTGGATCAGGGAGATTATTATTATTATTATTATTGCCATTTATTTAGCGCCAACAGATTCCGTAGCGCTTTACAATATTATGAGAGGGGATTTAACTATAAATAGGACAATTACAAATAAACTTACAGGAACAATAGGTTGAAGAGGACTCTGCTCAATCGAGCTTACATTCTATAGGAGGTGGGGTGTAAAACACAGTAGGACAGGAATTTGCAATCAAATAAGGTGGGCTGCCCTTTAGGAGAGGGCAAGAGACAGGTATGTGAGGTAGGGGTTAGAGGCCATAAGCTTTCCAAAAGAGATGGGTTTTAAGGCACTTCTTAAAAGATGCAAGACTATGGGAGAGTCTGATGGCGGGAGGCAGGCTATTCCATAGGAAGGGAGCCGCCCGCGAGAAGTCCTGCAAGCGCGAGTTGGCCGTACGGGTGCGGACAACGGACAGGAGGTGGTCACGGGCAGAGCCGGAGAGACCGAGAAGGGACATACCTATGGATCTGTGAGGCGATATAAGAGGGGCTAGAGTTGTTCAGTGCTTTATAGGTGTGAGTTAGTGCCTTGAATTGACTCCTATAGCACACAGGAAGCCAATGTAAGGACTGGCAGAGGGGTGAGAGAACCGACTAGAGAGGAAAATCAGTCTAGCAGCAGCGTTCATTACAGACTGTAGGGGTACAGTACGGCTTTTGGGAAGACCAAGCAGGAGAGGGTTACAATAATCCATGCAGGAAGTTACTAGAGCACGGACAAGCTCCTTGGTAGTATCTGGTGCAAGAAAGGGGCGGATGCGGGCTATGTTTTTAAGATGGAATCTACAGGATTTGGCAACATGCTGGATGTGAGGCTCAAAGGTGAGACCAGAGTCAAGTATGACGCCAAGACAGCGCGCTTGCAAGGATGGGCTGATGTTGGTACCACAAATTTGAAGGGAGAGTGAAAGAGGAGGATCAGTATTAGGAGGAGGAAAGACAAGGAGCTCGGTTTTTGAGAGACTGAGTTTCAGAAAGCGGGAGGACATCCATTCAGAGATGGAAGAAAGGCAAGCAGTGACACGTTGCAGGACAGCAGGGGAGAGGTCTGGGGAGGAGAGATATAGCTGGGTGTCATCAGCGTACAGGTGGTAGTGGAATCCAAATGAGGTAATAAGTTTGCCAAGAGAGGCAGTATAAAGAGAAAATAGAAGGGGACCAAGGACGGAGCCTTGGGGGACTCCAACCGAGACAGGGCGAGGGGAGGAGGTATCATTAGAAAAAGAGACACTGAATGAGCGTTGGGAGAGATAAGAGGAAAACCATGAGAGGACAGAGTCACAGAGACCAAGCGATTGCAGAGTTTGAAGAAGGAGAGCATGATCAACGGTGTCAAAGGCCGCCGAGAGGTCAAGAAGAATTAGTATGGAGTAGTGGCCTTTGGATTTAGCTGCGATTAGGTCGTTAGTAACTTTGATAAGGGCAGTCTCTGTAGAGTGGAGAGGGCGGAAGCCAGATTGAAGGGGGTCAAGGAGAGAGTTGGAATTGAGGAAATGAGACACACGGGTAAAGACAAGTCTTTCCAGAAGCTTTGAGGAAAAAGGGAGCAGGGATATGGGACGGTAGTTAGAGGGGGTGGACGGGTCGAGGGATGTTTTTTTTAGTATAGGTACTACAGTGGCATGTTTAAGGTCAGCAGGGACGATGCCAGAAGAGAGCGAGCAGTTGAAGATGTGTGTTAGAGAAGGCACGAGACAAGTGGAGAGAGATCTGATAAGGTGAGATGGGACAGGATCGAGCGGGCAAGTGGTGGGGCAAGAGGAGCAAAGAAGAGCAACCACCTCTTGGTCAGTGGCTGGGGAGAATGTCTGAAGGGTAGGAAAGGCATGATCTATGTGTGATTGAGAAACAGAAAGGCAAGGAGGGGAGAATTCTTTCCTTAGCTGTTCAATTTTGTCAGTGAAGTAACATGCAAAGTTATCAGCAGTAAGGTTGGTTTGGGGGGTGGCCACAGCGGGGCGAAGAAGAGAATTAAAGGTGTCAAAGAGACGCCTGGGGTTGCGGGAACATGAACTAATGAGAGAGGAAAAATAGGACTGTTTGGCAAGGGCAAGGGCTGCACTGTATGAACACAATATGAATCTATAGTGGAGAAAGTCTGACTGGGTGCGAGACTTCCTCCAGGAGCGTTCAGCACAACGGGAGCATCTTTGCAGGTAGCGCGTTGATATACATGTTTGTATCTGTATTGGTTGGTGTGTCGCACGGTAATTTTTCAAATTGTAAAGGGATCTGTAGAAATTCGCCATAGCGTTATTGATATCTTGTGGATTGTATATTTTTCCCCTTGACTGGGCTTGTTTTTGGCATAGCATCACCGCCAAGGCCTTGTTTGCCCTGTTTCCTTGTGTGTACGTTTTCAGCTTCAATTTTTGCAGAGTATATGCCATTTTTTTGAGTAGGAGCTTGTTTATTTTTTTGGTTGTTTGACTGATTAGTTGCTGTGAGATATCTGTGGGATGTAGGAGATGGGCATTTGTTAGGTCTCTAAGGGTTCTAAGCAGATTGGAGTGGTCTGGGTGTCAACTCCCACTACCCTTACCTCTACTAGACAGCCACTAGTTCCGGGTTTATAGCACACATTCCATGTGCTATAGCGTCGCTGGACGTCCTCACGCTATGTGAGGACCTCCAGCGTCGCTGAAATCCCCATAGGAAAGCATTTTTCAATGCTTTCCTATGGGGAGTTCTAATGCGCGAGTGTGGCATTGCCGCGCATTGAGCATTAGGTCTCTCCCGCCGCTGGCTGCGCATG